CGGCGTGTTTTACTTCAAACTTGTTTCCCTCCTACGCAATTATCTTCTTCGTTCAATAAAAAAGAAAAATTAGTGCAATATTCGTCTCGACAATATTGTAACGTACGGTCTATATGTNACAATATTGTAACGTACGGTCTATATATGTGCCACTGACATGTCAATGAGTTATGTTAACTTTACCACTCTTATAAATTTTAATTATAATAATTTTTATAAATTTTAAAAATGGATTAAAAGCGCGCAACACCTTTGAAACTCGTTCTTGGTATTGAACTAGAAAAATTATAAAGTATAAATGATAAATTTCATTTAAACACCTAAAAGGAAAAAAATAATGACCATTTTTGTTAAGTGTTTCGAGTACATAAGANTAAATTTTAATTATAATAATTTTTATAAATTTTAAAAATGGATTAAAAGCGCGCAACACCTTTGAAACTCGTTCTTGGTATTAAACTAAAAAAATTATAAAGTATTAATGATAAATTTCATTTAAACACCTAAAAGAAAAAAATAATGACCATTTCTATTAAGTTTTTCGAGTACATAAAAAAATGTCTAATATAGTATCTGAAGTAACCGGAAATGGATGCTGTGCAATGTAACCCTTATCTAGAGTTTATTTTTATGTTTACATACAATTTATATCTTTCCATAACGACCCAACCGCGTAAACAATAAACGCCATCTCCGATGCTTGATGTCGATGAACATAAAACCGTTCTGCTCTCTTATCTACTGTTGTTTTTTAATCAGATTTTTCCATTTCACTGATCTTGACACATAGTCTTTTTTTTCGCTTGTATAGTTCTCATCGCCCGTTTGTGAGTGAGTACTATGGTAAATCATAAACATTAGAATATTAGAATAAAGCTTAGCCTTAAACAATTAACCTACTAATTCTTCGTTTCACAAATAAAATAGAAAACGCATGTAATTAATGTACTTTTGTTTTATCTTTGCAGATGGAATCGTCAGAAACGTTTCGAAAACAAACGGAATTAGACCTGAGGAGAAGATTTCAACTGTCTCTAGGTAATGAAAGTAAATTAATGTTTAAAATTAAGTTATATCTTTAGTTGTATCTTAGCTACAGAGATCAATATCTACCGTTTAAAATCTTTATGCTAATTAGCTCTTACAATGCCTAACTACCTAACAGTAACCTTGGTCAAATTTGTTTCGTGACCAACGTTTCTCAAAGGTTACTAACATTAGATTAGCATCTTTACTGCAGTTAATACCCTATGTAAACCATTAAAAAGAAACAGTGTCAAAATATAACATCTTCTTTTAAGTCTCATGTACAACTTGGTTTTGAATCTCAAAGACTTGTCAGAACTGAGATTATATTTATGTGCAAAAACTCCTCGTAGTATTTATAATACTGAAATGATCATAATTTCGTCAAACTCTCCAGAGGTACACACTTTTAAATTTATTAATACGCAAGTTATTGGTAAAGATAAATAATCATCTTATGATAGTATGTTGGTAATTTCTTTTAATTCATTAAGATCATTAACGGCGACATAGTGTTGCAGTTAACTATATTATCATTTTACTATAACTCATTTTTTATTGACTACGATGTAGCATCACTAAATTACGGTACTATATACTAGATACGTACCAATCGTCTATGACTTGTGAACGTTACCAAATTATTGAATGCTGCCGAACATTTTTTAGGCAACTGATTAACGCGAGACGAATCTAAATTCACACGTCTACGTCTGTACTTGTAACGTAAGTCGAGCATAGTTATTATTCCCACGGTCCCACGAGCATACAGCAGACATTCAATTTCCTTTACCAATGTAAGTGATATGTCTGCTTGCAAACTAAAAAACGGAGACTACAACTTAAGCCATTACTCAATCACATTAATACTTTTTTTCTACGAATGTAGAACCGTATATACTTTTTGCCAAACACAGTAAGAAATGAAGCTCGGGATAGTGTGCATATTTTACATATGTGTTGTTTTTTTTGAATGGCATTGTGGGTGTTCTTGTATTCGCAGGATACTTAAAAAGGATTAATCGATTTTAGTAAAACATTAGACAAGACACAATGCAATAATATTGTTTTGACGTTTGAACTGCATTAAAATGTATTTTACATAAAATATGCCCGTGTTAACGGTTCGTGCTTAACATATCTATCGTTTTTGTATTCAAATAAATCGCCTGTCTAAATAAATTATTATAAAATAAAGTTGCCAGCAGAACTATTCTTCCGCATATGTCTCTCCTGCTGTTTGCTATATAAATTTTATAATACACCTACCGCGGATCATTAAAAACACTATGTACCATTGCCGACGGTGCAGTGCGTACTAGTTCCGTAAAAAATCCTTTGACTTGTGGCGGCGTAAACACAGCAATCCGTTAGTAAATTATATTGTTACAAGTAGTTCTGGCCCCTGCAACTAACGACGAGAGTGCAACGTCCGCCACCTCTGCGGACTGTGTTGTCGCATTTTACGTGCACAAAATAATTTTTTTTAGTTGGTACACCGAATCAGAAAAAAAAAACATAAGTCTAATGTATAAAATTTATGGTAATTACCACAACTGCCGCGTTATAATAATGTTCATTAAAATCCACTACAAAATCTAAGCCGAAAAATAATCATTCACGAGACCAATAAGGTTATTAATTTTTTTTTGGACTTGTGATATAATCATACATATTAAAATGCTTGTAACTCAAAATAACTTATCCTTAAGTCGACCGAACAAATTTTTTTTATGATACGATTTAAAAATAGCTATTTTAAAGTTTTAATAACACTAAAGTGTAAAATATATATATTTATCATAATTGAAAATAAATAACATATTTTTAACGTAGTCCAAAATTAAAAAGAGGAAAAAGTAAAGTAAAATATTAACGATAAAAATGTATTAAAGATATCAATACCTGATAACAACGCTTACAAGTTGTTAGGATGGTATGTAAAAACTATTTACTAAATTTACTTCTGTTTAAAATTAAAGAAAAGGTTTAATCATGATTTGCTTGCTCAGTGTGTAATAGACCGAAAAGTAGTTTTGATTAAAAAACATAGATGAACTCGTCCTCTTTTTTTACCTAGAAAACGATTCTCAGTAGACGTGCAAAGAGCACCGAGGAATGTGCGGTCATTCATGTACTATACTGTTTATGACAATATTTTAGTTACTTAGTTATCATTGAGCGCCTCCGAACTCCTTTCACCGTGTTATTATTAGCTAGTTTTTTTTATGCTTGCTGATGAACACTATACGTTTATTTATATAGGTTAATCGTTGCACCGCTAATTGTTGACTCGCTAAAAAATAAACCGTCGTACATATTCGATTATGACACCGACGTTTCCCGTTAAAAAACATCTATCATTAGCATACAGTGGAGTTTTCCACGAGCAGTGGCACACTTACGCATACGTCGCGGGCCCCGCAGTTATTATAAATAATTACGACTGGCGTGTACGGACGCCCATGTGTGTGACCTGTTCCTCTATTCAATTGTCCACATACAGTATGTACATGTGTGTTTTTTATGGTTCCAAAGACACAATAATGTCGGATGATTAGCGTATAATAACCGTACATTATTTATTGTGCGTACACATGAAATCGTATGTACCGCGGACGCCACCGACACTGGCCCATAAGAAAGAGCACAATATAATAACATTACAAGTCGGCTGCACATACAAACGATACGTTGTGAGTCTGTGTTGGTATTTTTTAATGCTCAAATCTTGCATCCTAGAACGCGGATCGATAAGCACTGAGTTGGATCATATCACTAATGGGATGTTATCTCGGGGTAATCGTACGACTGTTTTTTCTTCGGGGGAAAGCGCGTATAAATGTGGCTGTGAAACGTTTTCTAACAACTGCATCTCTGTCTTTACTTTTTCCCGGAAAAATATGTTATTACGACGGTCCGTGTAAGACAATAACAATAATTATACGGTTTACCCAAAAGATGGAAACCCCAAAATTTACTTTACTAGGCGTTTCGGAATTCGACACTCTTCAATTGAACAATAAGGAAACAACTCGTTTGACGCACTGAAGATATCGTATCAATTTTAAAAAACACGTTTACAATTTACTAGTTCCCAATCCTTATTTTAACTAGTTTAGTTAAGCGTAAAAAAAATTAATATAAAATAAAGTGATCGAACTTGTAAGTCCTACTAACAATGTTGAATTCGTGTTAATATTCGTGTTTTCTTAATAAATCATTAAAATGTTATTTTGAAAATAGTTGTATAAACTTGAATGTTTATAAAATAATTAACGAATAATTTTTCATTATTGATTTTTCGAAACTATTTTATATTCAATAATTTTTCAAAGTAAAGTTTGTTTTGTAGAAATATTTGGAAAAACAGGGTATAATCCAATAATTGATTTACTGAAGGTGAGAAAAATTAGTTATTCATTATTATCTGACCTTTAGTGGCCTGCTGAGCACACTACCAGTTTTAGACATTCCAAGTTGTGCAGGAGGTTTATAATAATAATAACATATCTAAAACTATTTAAGTGTTACGTAAAAATGTCGTGCTAAATTTTTATCACTATCTCCATGATGTCCAAGCGAAGCTTATTATAAAAACCCGAGGAGGTCTTAACTACTACGTTAAGTAAAATACATGGGCAGAACGTATGAGCATATATTTTTATAAACTGGTCTCAGAGTTTACTGCCTGTTAAAAAACGTTATTGTTGTCAACTTAACTCTTAAGTAGCTTTTTAAAAGATGTGTTTATTGTAACGTCCTGTAGTCTGTATTGAAGTTGGCTTTATACAAACACTTGCATTTCATCGTAGATCAACTACTTCCTAATTAAAGTATTTAAATGGCATTGATTGAATAACTCGTAGCCGTATTTTTATGTAATTCAATACACGTGACAGATAAAATACTGATTATAATTAGTGTTAGTTGAATAAAATTCCATTAAGGCATTACCGATCAGATTTACCGTACGAGCGCAACATTATGTGCTGTATGATTACGAATTTCTGTACAAGCACCTGATGAGTATAGCTTCTATGTAAGTGTTTCTTACAAGAATTATTATACGTTGTACTAAAAAACTGTTTACTATTATAATGTTACCATACAATACTAAAGTCATGGTCGACGTCTATCGGCCTATTGGGTTCCGACCATACCTGTTCTGGATGTGCTTTTCAAAACGGGATGTAGTCACGACGTACATCGGCTAGCATACCGATATGGTGTAGTAACATTGGAGTAACCATTTGAATATGAGTTGAAAATAATTAAGAAAGGTGTGCGAAAATAATATTTCTTAATGCTATCCGTCAATATGGTCAATATGTTTTAAAGAATTTCTTAAATTCAATTTTGGGTCAGATTTAACTAACAAATATAACAATTAGATATACTTAAACAAGTTAAATTATTGCTAGACTATTAATGTGTTAATATTAGTCTGATAATTCGATGATTGGATATTTCTTCAGTTGTGCTATTTTAGCGGGCACGTTGGATATGAATACAATGAAAACAATCAAACGTTTAAAGTGATAAACGATGTTGTGTTTATTGTTGTACTGAATAAATGACGACCGGATAACGTAACGCCGTCGTGATTTACACACTATCGTTTTCACTAAAGTTATTCATTATTCAAATAATCTTTTTGGTTTGGTATTTTGTGAGCATTTCTCAGGACTCAATTTCGTCCATGACCTAATTGATATCAGCTGGATATTTACTTAATGAATTTCTTCAATATTCTCTCACTTTCAGATTTCAATACCCAGACGTCTATACTTTGTATGCTTCATCAAAACGTTGTCGAGAATTCCACAAATACTTTATCAAACGTGTTTCTTCTTAATTTCGTCTTTTAAAGATGTCAACAACAGTTAATCCTTTTTTTAGTATACACAAGAATTAAATAAATACACTAGAGTAGTGTATTTATTTAATTCTTGAAGCTATTTAAAAACGTCTGCCGGACAAAAGTAAAAGACAACGCTTGAATTAGTAGT